CGCCAGCCACACACTCTCACACAGACACACACACACAGATAGGGAGAGAGACAGACAGACTGAGAGAGTGACACCGTTACACGAACAGACACAAAGACAGATAGACACACAGTGAGGAAGCAATGTAAGCCACTAGTCACCAAACTCAGACACATAGACAGACAGACCAACGTACAGAGACTCAGGCAGACAGACAGACAAACAGGTAGACACACAGACAGAGATAGACACAGTCAGACAGAGACACAGACAGACGCAGAGACAGATACACAGAAAGACAGGAAGACGCACGGACAGACAGAGAGACTCACAGTGAGGAACCAATATAAGCCACTAGTCACCAACCACAGACAGACGGAGACACAAAGAGACAGACAGAAGCAAGTGAACACATCGATCATTTATTTAATTTCATTAATTAAATAATTATTAAATAATTGTTTGTTAATAATTAAATAATTGTTTCATTAATTCTGAACAGAAGGAAAGACGTGACAGGAAGAGGTTTCTGTGAGTGACGCCACGGCTTCTCTATCAGGACGTCGGTGAAATGAAATATCCGGACAGAGACTCGAAGCTTTTCTGAACCGACGACCGGACGTGGTGAAGATCTTCCTGTTGGACAGTGACCTGCGGTCACCTCCCCCTCGGCTCGGCCTCGAGCTCCGCCACTGTCCAGCGCTCTTGGAACCTCCCACTCACCAGCGGCGCCATATAAAGCCAAGTTGTTGTTGTTGTTACAAACACAATATTAATACAGAATGGTTTAGTTTGACACAGTAGCCGTTGTCCCCACCGCAGGGCGAGGAGACGGGCAAACTGTGCAGTGTAATGTTTATCCGAGGCTCCAGGAGAACAGTACATTGACACTGTACGAAAGGCTGATCCCGTCACTACAGTCATCCAAACTGCTCACTGTGGCCACAAACAGCCCATACCCTTGGGCGTCACCCAAATATATTGCCCAAAATATATAGAGTCAGTTCACTTCACAATATATCCTGTGAAGCGCTTGGAGTGGCGTTGTATCAAATGTAAGGCTTACAATTATTATCACTCAAATTACCAGTGATTGCAGCAACTGCTATGGTACAGGACTCCACAGATTAAATCGCTGTACACAATAACACCCCCAAACCATAAGGAAACTAATGTTCAGAATTTTAAATAAATAACAGACAGACAGATAAATGTGGAAGAATTTTGTTGGAAGCTGTAGCCACTCTCTACCCTTGGCCTTGAAAAAGATTCCCGCCTGACCTAACAGGTATGAAATAGACAAATGAGACGGAAATATTTGCAGTCCCAAAACCTCTCAATGTTCTACATTAAAACACCACAGAAGTCATATCATTCGGGAGCATATCATTTAATATGACTGATGAAATATATAATAATAATAATCCTTATATTTAATATCGTGCCTCATCCCGTCTTCGGAACATCTCAAACTGTTTCACAGAATACACTGTTAAGTAAATTGACACTATTTGTGGGCGAAATGCGGCAGTCAATTTTACAATCGACGTCCCACAAACATCCGTGGATTGATTGAGTAAATTATGATCAGAATATATTCAGGGGGGAGGGAAAAATATCCCCGGAAAGTGATCCAACAATTGACTAACTAATGCCTTCCGATTTATTGCCAGGTAAACAGAGCCATGCTTGTCAAGTAAGGAAATTTGCCTATGGTATCGCCCTCACCAGCCCGGGAATCGAATCCATGTGGTCAAACTTACGAGGCACTCGCTCTAACCACTGAGCTGTAGGACTCGAGGAAAAGTGCGAGTTGCAGGAAAACTGTACAAGTTGTGGAAAATCAGATTGTCTAAATAATCTACACTGCGAACGTATAATTTAATACAGCCAATAAGTGCCCACACAGTGATGGGTTAAGACTATATTTTCCCCGATTCAATGAATGTTGGCCTGTCACCACATGCACATTGAAAGCCAAGCGCTGGTATGGCATTGAATCGCGGGTTTGTTGTGGCTTCTAGTTTTCCCATCAGCATAAATGTGAAGAAGAAATATCTTGTGGAAACAGTTCATGACAATCTCGCTTGTGGTCAGCTTTTGAGGAAGAAAGAAACCAGTAAAAACCTGAATATCTAAAGGTTAGCCTTTACAGCAACAACAAGAAAATTACACTTGTAAGTTGCCTTTCACGTTCAGAGGATGTCACAAGGTACTGGATAATCAGTGTTTCGGACCCGAGCTGAGGGTTGGGATGGTGCAGGTTGGATCAAAAGCAATGTTGAAGAATAGGGTCTTGAGATGGCACATATCAGAACCTGGATGAGTGTAAACTCCTCGCAGCTTAATGTAGTCAATCCAGAAGCCATACTCTGTGGCTCCCATCTATGTTTTCACTTCTGTGGATCTGAAGCCTTCAACCACACTGGGCCCTCCAATGACAAACCAATGCGCAACTTAGGCGTCCGGTTCGAACCCCAGCTGTCCTCCCTTCTTCAAATCCAGTCACTAACAGAGAGACACGCAGACAGATAGGACACACAGACAGACAGAAAGGGAGAAAGACAAACAGTGGCTCCTCTGGCTCCGGTCTGCTTCACATGCCCCGCCCCAAACGCCCTACAATCGGTGGCCGGGCCTTCAGCCTCTCAGCCCCGAGGCTCTGGAACTCTATCCCCCAGTGCCTTCGCCACTTCCTCCCTTTCCTCCTTGAAAGCCGGTCTCAAGACCTTTCTCTTTGACCGTGCCTTCAGCTCCCATCTCGACTCTACCCTCTCCTCGCTCCCTCCATTCTCTCCCCTCACCCTGACCATTTCTCCCCTGCTGGGGTCCTGACCCAACTGTCCAGCGCCTTGGGACATCCTCCGGACGCGAAAGGCGCTCTATAAATGAAATATTGTTGTGAGAAGTCATTGTCAGCCACTTGTAACCAGCTGCAGACAGATGGGCAGACAGACAGATGGACGAACAGACAGACAGACAGTGCTTCTCACCCCTTTTTCGATTGCTGTCTGAAAACCTTCCTCTGACCATCACCACCTCTGAGTCGACTTCACCTCAAAGCTTGAAATCAGCTCCTCCGCCAGCTTCCCCCCTCCTCCCCCCACACCCTCACCCATCTCTGTCACGGCTACTAACACTGCCCTGTTCTCCATTACCCTTATTTCTGCCCTTCCCTCTCATCTGTCATCTCCCAGCTATTGGTCACTCAACAACCCCTCCTCAACCCTCTGCTGGCCAACACGATCAAGCAGTCTCTCTCTCCCGGCTCTGTTCCTCATCCATTAAATTCACCAGTTGTTAATGAACTCCTTCTCATCATCATTATTATTATTATTTTAACGGAAAATTTCCCCATGAATCACCAAACCGCTAATTAACTAACATAGATATTCTGGTTGACTTCTCGGTAAACATCGGGAGGGGGCCAAGCGGATGGATTGAGAGAGAGAGCTCCAGAGTTTCAGGGAATAATGGCTGAAAAGGCACAAGTGATGAGCAGGAGGCCGGAGCCGGTTGAGCGGAGGCATTGCCCGGGTGCTAGATTGGGGAATGAGGAGGTCGGAGAGGTAGGTTAGGGCGGTGGTAGGAAGTAAAATGATTTGAAGACGGGTGTGAGTAATCAACACGCTTCAAGACTCCACAACAAACCAAGCTCCATTTCTATCGGTTCTGCTGGACGTTAAAGATCTCGCAGCACAATTTGAGAAAGAGACGGATATTTCTCTCCCTGATTTCCCGGCTGACAAAATAATCCCCCAGATAACATTGGCCAGTCAGTACATGATTGTTTGCTGGTTGTGTGGAAATTGGCTGCACATTCACCAAATCCCGACAGTCACTGTACAGAAATGCAGGGTTTTGAGCTCCGTTACAGGTTCTGTATCAAATACACGGCTTGTTGTTATTCTTCCCGTTTCTCGGCCCAGGAATATCAGTGGCTCCTGCAGTCATGACCGCCGTGAAATGCAGAGAGAATAGTTACTCCTGTGAGGGTGATGATGAATGTACAAGTCTTTCTCGTGGTCTCCTGGGATCACAGTCACAATCAGCTGATTTCACAAGAAGAGACGAAAGGAGATGGTTTGACTGCCCAGTGACTGGGAGCCGCCCACACACTCACAATGAAACTGAAACCAGTTTGAATCAGGAAGTGCTGAGGGGGAAAATGGCTTCTGGGCTCCAGACTGAGAGCTGGACCGAGGAGATCACTTGCCGGATTTGTCTGGATTTCTTCACTGATCCTGTTATCCTGGACTGTGGCCACAACTTCTGTCGCTCCTTTATGGTGGCTGTACATCTGAATTCTCTTACCTTTGGAAATCACTTTGAGTGAATAACTTTGCTGTAATAATGACAGTCAACTCTGTGCTGTAAAATTCTGTTCTGTGTATCTGAGTTTACAATGAGGTGTCTTAAAAATTACATGTGTACAGCGTCTTTCACGCCCAGTGCCTTGGGACTTCCTCCTGACGTTAAGGGTGCTGTACACATGTAATATTTGTTGTTATTCTTGGTGTCTCAGTGTGAGCTCACTTCTGTCTGTGTTTGATTTCATCAGGAGGAAGCTGCTCGGAAGAAAAGGTTTGAAATGATCTTTACCAAATATCCCAGAAATTAATGCACAAACAAACACAATGTGCGGTTTCACTTCACAATGAAAAACAGCTGTCATCAACCTCTCTCCTAATAAAACCTTCCATGGACCCATCCATCCCTGCTCACTAACTGCCACCTATCTCCAACCTCCCTTTCCTTTACAAGGTCCTTGAAAGAGTTATAACTTCCCAGCTTCACTCCGTCCACACCTGTCTCTCCCGTCATGAACCCCTCAATCGGGTTTCCTGCCCACAGCACAAAACAGCCTTCATCAAGGTGACAAATGGCACTCTGTTCATCTGTGACCAGGACTCCCTCTGTCTTCTCGCCTTCCTGAAACTCTCTGCTCCCTTTGACACTCTATCCTCCTCCAATATCTCTCCTATCATATCAGCCTTCAAAGTTCTTTCCTTGATTGGTTCACATCGTATCTCTTACACCCATTTCCATTTTGCCTCCGCAAATCTCTTCTCCTCACCGTCTCGTGTGGTGTTCCTCGAGGCTCTGTCCTCGGTTCTCTCTTCTTTAACCTGTACATGCCATCTCTTGGTGACATCATTCTCAGCCATTGAGTCAACTTCCACACATGACCCTCAGATTCATCTCCCTCTGCCTCCAACATGAACCCTATGACCACTGCTGCTAGACAGAATGTTTGTCAAATATCAAATCCTGGATAAGTGCCAACTTTCTGCAGGTGAATATCAGCAAGACTGAAGCTCACGCCAGCACCTCCCAACTCAGGCCCTGGCAGCATCAGTACCAATGGACACATATACCACCTCACCAAGCCAGTCCGAATCCCAGGTGTCTTGTTCGATCCTCAACTGTCCTTTATCCCCCACGTCCATGCCATGACCCGCTCTGCCTTCCCACAACTCGGCAACATTGCATGACTCAATCACTGTCTTACCTCTTCATTATATCCAGACTCGATTATGCCAAAGCCATGTTTCTCGGCCTCCCCAACTCTTCCCTCCACAAGTTGCAGATCATCCAGAACTCTGCAGCTCCTATCCTCCATCACTAGGCTCCGTGACCCCAACTGCTCCAGCCTCGCTCGGCTCCGCAAGATCCCCACCCCTCAGTGGATCGAATTCAATATCATTTTTCTCAATTTCAAAGCCTGCCATGGCCTTGCACCTTCTTGCATCTCTATCCAGCAAAGCCCATATCAACCTGTCCACTCCCTGCATTCTGCCGCCTCCTACATATCTATACATTAGCGGCCGGGATTCCCGCCTCCCTGATCCCAACTTTTGGATCCTGCGCCTTGGGACTTCCTTGCCACGTGGAAGCCTACTGTATGTAGATGTCAATGTGTATTGTATTGCTGCAATATATTCACTGTGTTTGTGTCTCTGTATACAGGCAGGAAGAAAATAATCTGGGTGATGGTGGACTGAAGCGACTGAGTGAGGCTCTGCTGAAACCGAAGTTTAAAATACAGGTTCTGGAGTGAGTAACACACTGTGAAATTCAATTACATGGGAAAAAATCACGTCGGTGTCTTACAGTGGCCATAAACACACACAACATGGCCTCTGACAGGTCATAGTCAGGGTTGGTATCTTCTCTTACCACCTCACTCTCACATAAAGATCCCCTCTGTTCACCACAGTACTCAGTACTCACAGACACAGCCCAGATCGAGAGACACTGAAAGGATATCCACACAGGAGTCCTGCCCTCACCATGTGGCCAGTCCTCAGGCCCTACTGACTGTAGCCCCAGAGTGAGAGGCCCTGGGGACAGATAATCTCACGCTTGATACCTACCCAAAAACTCTCCCTTGTCAACCCACAGCACTCCCAGCACGGAGGATCTGGTGTCCATCATTCGGAGGAGTAGACTCCCTGCAGCCACTCGGTGATTGATCATGTTACATACGCACTCACTCTCTCGCCCTGTGATGCTGATGGACTGTGTCGCGGCTCCTCATGGCCTGAACAGTCGCCAATGGCATCAGCTGGTTCCACTGCCCTGTGCTCATACCCAGGTCACTTAACTGTTATACTGGGCTCTGGATACCCGCCGTGGGGAACTCGGGTAAACTGCGCTCTGAGGCTGTAAAGCCTGAGGACTTTCAGGGCAGAGGTAGCTATGGGCTTGGGGGGGTGCTATGTGTTGGGCTGTGAGGGAGAGCTCAGTTACCCCTTTACTGTGTCACACACAAGGAGTGAGGGAGCCCCCAGGAAGCTCTCACTGCTCTGGGCGGCAGTTCGTGGAGGACTGATGCCCTGAGGACAGGACACAGGAAGCCTGTGGCCAAGTGACGTGGGTCGGAGGAGATTTGGCTGTGACTGCATGGAGTGAGTGTTCTGGGGCCTGAGCTGGTGGAACCAGAGTAGGAGAGCAGCCGAGAGGGGGCAGGAGCCAACCCAGGTACACTGGGGTGTGTACAAGGGAGGAAGTGGTGTTTACCAACTTTACCAACCTGTTGGCTCCATCCACTCGGTGTGCACTGGAATGCTCAACTTCCCCCGCCCTCTCCGCTCCACCATCAACTCTTCTGTATTCAGTCTTTCCATCACCACCCTATGGAACTCAATCCTGGAGAACCTCTATCTCTCCTCCTCATTTGCCTCCTTCAATACCTATCTCAACATCTTCCACTTTGACACTGCTTCGGTTATCCTCCTACCCCAATCCCTTGTACACCACCCATCTCTGATCCCAACCCCCAGCTCAGGTGCAAACCCTCATTGCCTTGGTACGTCTTCCTCACATGAAAGGCCCTAAACTTTAGGTTGATGTTGAAGAATCAATTTGATGTTGTTGCCGCAGAGACTGGAACCACTCGAAACTTCGAAATCCGTCCCTGTAAAGCTCTGAGACATGACCCTGCAAGAAATTAATATAAATGTTAGATGCTGTTTCGATCTACCACAACTTAGGAAGGATGCCTGTGTTTGTATCTGCCTGTGTGTGGGCATATGCGGGTGTGCCTGACCCTGGTCCCAGCGCCTTGGGACTTGCACCCCATGTGAAAGGCTCATGTATATAAATATCAATGCGTATTGTGTATTATGTTGTTCCTGTGTTTGTGTCTCCGTGTCCAGGCTGCAGGACCGTAATCTGGGAGATTGCGGAGTGAAGCAACTGTGTGAGGATTTGAGGAAACTGGAGTGCAAAATACCGACGCTATGGTAAGTAACACACTGTGGACTTGGTGTCAGTGATTGGCTCTGTACACAGCTATTATATCCTGAGCAGCTGTGGACAATATTAATTCTAAAAGTTCCTGAAAGCTACAAGGACTGCCTCAGCGGTAGGGTTTTGAGGACAAGTCACTTGGAGCAGAGGTTCTTCCCACTCACTTGCTGCTGACCCTGTGAGACACAGTATTTAGTTTCGTGGGTGTCCTTTCCAGAAAATAGAGGGATATTTCCCTCTCACCGAGGACCTTACACAGCTTTAGCTGATTAAACTGCAGCATCACCTTTAATATTAATAATAATAATAAAAATAATTGAATTTGCTATAGTGATTTTCACGTTTTCTAGACGTCTCAAAGCGCTTCACAGAAAATACTGTAAAGCCAATTGACTGCATTTTTGTGGGCGAAACGCGGCAGCCAATTGTTCACAGCAAAGACCTACAAACTGTCGTGGATTGTGGTGACCAAATTGTTATTTTTTTTTCGGGATTTTTTTCAGGCATGTGGAGTAAGGAAAATTGCCCAAGGTTTCTCCCTGCTGGGATTTAAACTCGGGTCTCTCGCTTGTGAGGCGAGGTATTAATTGCGCACCCCCAGGGCATATTATTAACTATTTGACTGACGTCAACACAAAATGCCAGGGAATGTTTTGCCCATTGAAAAACACATTGATAACTGCTATTACAACACAAGCAGCTTTCTCAGTTCAATATTTTGTTTTTAGTTGTTGGCAACAAATAGCTATATATCGATCGAAATTAAGCATCACAGTGAACCAGACTGAAGGTGCCTACACTCCAACCCCCCACCCACGCTCAACACACACTGTGTGGTCACCGAACCTCGAATTGCATCAACCTACACCCAATCCTGCAATCCTGAATGTGAGTGTCTGTTCCACGTAAAATCGACATTTTAATGCGAAGGTGGAAAAATGTCTGCCCCGGCCCCTTCCTCCTGTCTCAGACAATCCATCCCATCCACAGTCTCTCATGGTAATCAGCGTTGTATTCACTTTGATCCCTTTTATGGCTCCTTGTCTCTCGTCTCCAGGCTGTGTAATAAATAATAATACGCACTGTGTTTACACTGATCCCTTTTATGTTTCTTTGTCTGTGATCGTCAGGGTGAGGGACATAGATCTGACAACTGATAGCACGGAGGAAATGTCCTGCGATCTCAGAATAAACCAAAAACTGACGGAGCTGAACTTGAATTATAAGAATCTGGGAGTTCGTGGAGTGAAGCGACTGTGTGAGGCTCTGAGGAAACCGAAGTGTAAAATACAGAGACTGGAGTAAGTAACGCACTGTGTCTCCAGAGTGTGAATGACTCCAATATCTCAATGTTTTTGTTGTGACTGTCTGATCAGTGCGGCTGAATATTGTGACAGGAATCGGTGTGACAGTGTGAGGCCACAAGCCATCGTTTACATCAAACTCTCAACATGTATTAACGTGTGTGTGTCTGTGTGTGTGTTTGTGTGTGTGTTTGTGTGTGTGTCTGTCTGTATGTGTGTGTGTCTGTGTGTGTGTGTGTCTCTGTCAATCGCACCCTCGCCCGACCCCTCCACACACTGTTGGTTTGTAGTTGTCTACTATTGTCAGACGAGTGTCTGACACACACTCAAACCTGTTATCGGGCTTCAAACTCTTCAAACCAATCTCCTGACAGTTCCATATCTGACTGGAAATTTGTGTGTATGGAATGGAGGTCATTCTCTCCAGGGCAGTGGGAAGCTTCTGATCGAATGGGAGACTTTTAAGATAAATTGTGGGTGAATCTAAAAGCAGTCTCACTGGGAGCTCAGAGCAGCATTGAACAGTGTGTATTTATTTGTTTGTGTTTTTGCACGCGCGAGTGTGTGTCTTTATGTGTTTGTTTGTGTGTGTATGTCAGTGTGTGTTATCTGGGTGTGTCTGTGTATGTTTCTGTGTGCGTGTGTTTCCGTGGGTGTATATGTTTGCGTTTGTATGCGTGTCTCTGTGTGTGGTTTGTTGCTATATGTTTTTGTGTGTTACTGTGTGTGGGTGTTGCCAGTATGTGCTTTGTGTGTGAGTGTTTGTGTTTGTCCGCGTATCTGTGTGTGTCATTATGTGATTATGTTATGGGTGTATATTTATCTGTGTGTATGTCTGACTATATATGCATGTGAGTTTGTTTGTGTGCATAAGCATGTCTATCTGTGTATGTTTGTTTTTGTCTGCCTGTGCACATGCATGTTTGTGTGTATGTGTGTGTGTGAGCGCGTGTGTGCATGTATGTGTGCGTGAGCATTTGTGTGTGTATGTGTGTCACTCCTGCAAGCTGTCCAGCTCAGACATGCATGATGTTGCTGCTTCCTCCCTTAACCTGAGACACTTAACTGAGATCAATGATTCAATGTGTATTCCCAACTGGCTTTAGCTCCCGGACGCAAATATTTTTTATGGAAAAATCATGTCCCGAGGTAGTTTTTTGTTGGTATCTTTACAGTCAAAACATCTGTACAAAACCCTCACTCAGAATAAAGTCTACACAGATTTAGCCTTGAGTTACCCTGTGTCTGCTCACACACGACATTCTGAACCCTGTAGCTCAGTGGTTAGAGCCCTCGCCTCGCTAGCGAGAGGGCCTGAGGGTGATTCCTGGAAGCGCAAAACCTTTCGGATGTTTCCTTACTCCACTCGTGACTGTTTGCCTCGCAGTCAGTCACAATCCGGTTCTTAATTGCAGTTCGCATTTCCAGGGTTAATATTCCCTTCAAATAAATATTTCGCGAGAGACCGTAAGAGAGACTGAGAGATAGAGGGGGACTGAGAGAAAGAGAGATAGAGAGACAGACAGAGAGATACATAGACAGATAGAGAGACTGAGAGAGAAGAGAAGGGCGAGAGAAATAAAGAGTGATAAATTGACTGAGAGAGAGAGAGAGAGTGGGAGACAAGGGGAGAACAAATTTTATGAGAGAGAGAGACTGAGTTAGAGAGAGAAAGAGGGAAATAAAGAGAATCAGGGAGAGACTGAAAGAAACTAAGTGGGAGACTGAGTGAGAGTGACAGACTGAGAGAAAGACAAAGTGAGAGTGAATAGGGTAGATTAAATATAATATGTAGTGACTGTCTGTTTTGTGGGAGAGACTGAAAGAGAAAGAGGGACAGATAGAGACAGAGAGAGAGACAGAGATAGTGAATGAAAGATATTGATTGACAGAGAGAGACAGAAAGACACAGTTAGACACAAATAGAGAGAGACTGAGAAAGATTGATAGAGAGAGATTGAGGGACAGAGGCTGAAAAAGTGAGAGAGGGAGATTGAGAAAATATGTTTTCAACAGTAGCGAATATGTGTTTTGTGGGGGAAACAGATACAGAGTGATTGAGAGAGAGATAGAAAGAGATTGGGATAAACTGCGTGAGAGACAGAGAAAGAGAGTGAGAGAGAAAGTGACTCAGAGAAACAGAGTGAGATACAGACTGAGTGATGACTTCAGAGAGCCTGAGAGATAGAGCCTGAGACACTGAGAGAGAGAGACCGAGCGAGATAGGGAATGATTGAGAGAGAGAGTGAGAGAGGGAGAGAGAATAAGAGAAAGACTGTGAGAGGGAATATGTTATAACATGGAATAACTGTGTTTTCGGGGAGCTGAAGTGAAAGAAACATGGAGCGAGACTGTGAGACAAAGTGAAAGACATAGTAGGAGACACAGAGAGAGTGAGAGAGAGACGGTGAAAGTGTTATATTATCAAACGTTGTGACTGTTTTGAGGGAGAGACAGAGAGAGTATCAGAGAGAATGAGAGACTGTGATATGTGTGTCGGCGTATGTGCGGGTATGTCTGACCCTGGTCTCAGCGACTTGGGACTTGCTCCCCACGTAAAAGGCTCCTGTATATACTTGTCAATGTGTATTGTGTTGTCACACCATACTCCATGTGTTTCTGTCTCTGTGTCCAGGCTGAGGGGCAATAATCTGGGAGATCGTGGAGTGAAGCGATTGTGTGAGGCTCTGAGGAAGCCGGAGTGTAAAATACAGAGTCTGGAGTAAGTAACACACTGTGTCTCCAGAGTCTGAATGACTCCAATATCTCAGTGTATTTATTGTGACTGTCTGATCAGTGCGGCTGAATATTGTGACAGGAATCGGTGTGACAGTGTGAGGCCACAAGCCATCTTTTATATCAAACCCTCAACATGTGTTAATGTGTGTCTGTCTGTGTCTTTCTGTGTGTGTCTCTGTCTGTGTGTTTGTGTCTGTGTGAGTGTGTGTGTGTGTGCCTTTGTGTCTGTGTGAGTCTGTGTGTGTCTTTGTCTGTGTCTGTTGTTAGAAGCATTTACAACTATTTCCAACAACTTTACCATGATCCGGTTCCAGCTTACCAAATGGATGAGTTCAGTCACTTTATTTAGGTCAACAAAAAAGGTAATACACAAATAAATGAAACAATAAAATAATCCACAAGACACAAAACGGTACCGACCAGTACAGCCCTGGTCGTGTCTCGCACTGCTCCGCTACCGTTCCCGAGAGATATCTCGCACACCTTTGTTTAAAGACACCTCAATATCTCCAGCCAAAGCTGTCTTTTTTTAAGAAAAACAACTGCTTATATGGTTCTGTCCAAAAAATGTTTCAATTCTCCATTTAACCACATGTTGTTCTCTCCTTATCAGTCCCTTCATCCAGTGTGTAAGTGTGAACAGACTTTCTGTGTCCTTGTAAGTTCTGACCTTATGTTGCCATTGTTTTGGGTTCTGTCTTCAGTTACTGAGCTTTGCCGCCTTTGCACTTCTATTTTATATTCTTAAACCACACTTTAACATTAACCCAAGAGAACACTGTGTGAGTGTGTATATATCGTTTGTGTGTGTGTCACTGCATGTGTTTGTGTTTGTGTCTGTGTGTGTGTCTTTGTGTGAATGCGTCCATTTGTGTGTCTTTGTGTGTGTGTATCTGTATGTATGTGGGCGTGTTTTTTTGGTGTGCTTCTCTTTTTTCCTGTGTCAGTGCGTGTGTTCTTGAATGTGTCTGTGTATGACTCCAAGTATTTCTTTGTGTCTGTGCGTGTGTGTTTCTGTGTATGTGTGTTTCTGTGGGATTTTTTTTGTGTGCGCCTCATGTGTGTGTTTTTGAGTGTGCCTGTGTGTGTGTCTCTATGTATTTCAATGTGTGTCTGTGTGTGTGTGTGTGTGTTCCTGTGGTTTTATTTTTGTGTGTGTGCCCTTGTGTGTGCTTCTCCTTCATATCCGCGCTACAACGGGCACTGCATTCCACCACCTCCGGAACATCGCCAGACAACGGCAGTACCTCACCCCTCACGTTGCTGAAACTCTGGTCCACGCCTTTATCACCTCAAGGCTGGAATACGGGAACTCTCTCCTCGCCGGTCTTCTGACCTACAATCCTCCTACTTACCTGCCCCGAACCTCCATTCCTCTGGCTCCGGTCTGCTACACCTCCCCCGCCCTACCCGCCCTACCATCGGTGGCCGGACCTTCAGACTCTCAGCCCCGAGGCTCTGGAACTCTATCCCCAGTGCCTTCGCCGCTTCCTCCATTTCCTCCTTCAAGGCCGGTCTCAAGACCTTTCTGTTTGACCGTGGCTTCAGCTCCACTCTCGACTGTCTAACCCCTCCACGCTCCCTCCCTTCCCTCCCCTCACCCTGACCATTTCCCCCAATGCTCGGATCCCGACCCAACTGTCCAGCGCCTTGGGACGTCCTCCCAACGTGAAAGTCGCTCTATAAATGAAATCTTGTTGTTGTTTGTGTGTATGCTAATGTATATGTGTCTCTTTGTGTTTGTATGCGCGTTTGTGAGAATTTGTGTGTGTGTGTGTCAGCGCCTTGAGACGCCCGACGTGAAAGGCGATATACATATGTAATGTTGTTGTTATTGTGTGTGTTGTGTATGTTCCTGTGAGCGTGTGCGATTGTGTTTGTGTGTGTGTTTCCAACTCTTCCCTTCATAGCTGCAGCTCATCCGAATCTCTGCAGCTCGTGTACTCTCACTCACCAGGCTCCCCGACCCCATCACTGCCACCCTCGCCCAACACTATCACTCCCTCCCTCGCCGGACATCATCACCCCCACACTCACTCTACCCCATCAGTCCCCCCTCACCCGACCCTATCACTCCCAACCTCGCCCAACCCCATCACTCCCACCCTCACCCGACCCCATCACTCGCACCCTCGCCTGAACCCATCACTCACAATCTCGCCCGACCCCATCATTCCGAGCCACGCCCGACCCCATCACTCCTACCTTCGTTCTACATCATCACTCCCACCCTCGCCCGACATCATT